GGGGGGGTAGTAGCTCGAGACTCGCATCAGGTCTCGCTCAGGAAAATGAGCGAAGATGGTAGACTGCAAGACCCTATCCTGCGACTTGAGCGAGTGTGTCCTGCGGCTGTGCAAGGTGAGGATATCACGCTGCTGATCGGTCAGCGCAGCGCGAGCATGCACATGGCGAGTTTTATTCCTCCTGCATATTGTGCCGCTCCTCGCTGTGCGCTGTGTGCCAGGAGGTTTAGCTTGTTCCTGCTTTGTTTTGCTTGAGGCACTTTTTACCTTCTGCCAGTAAATCCATTATCCGCGAGGGAAGACGCGCATGACAAGAGGGGTCACATTTCGCTGCGCAGGCGGAGGAATGAAGTGCTCATGAGACGAGTCGACGAGAGCGCGCAAACCAGGGATGTGTACCACAGATGCCGGGGGGCGTCCTGCGTCATCAGGCACAGCAGCCGGGGCAGGTGGGATCGCCGCGCCATCTGCAGCCGGTGCAGGAGCCTTGACACGACGGTAGAGGATCGCTCCAGCATTATGAACGAAGTCGTGCGCCTCAACGAAGAAGGTCGCCAGAGGATGCTTCTGGGCACGGAGAGATCTCGAGCAGTGAACGTCCAGGCTATGAGGAGAGAGCAGCGTCCGTGACATCGGCTGGTCAGAGTACCAAGCGAGGAAGCGAGCGATAGCCGTATAGTAAACAGCGGGGTGTAGACCCTCAGAGGGCGTGAACTCGTCCCCTCCCCGACTATGCGGAAGCTCCCGCTTGAACCTCGCAAACTCTAGCAGGTCGGGATGCGCGGCGAGGTACTGCGAGGAAGGCCAGCGGTGGTATTTCTCAAGCGCCAGGTGGACAGAGAGGTCAAAGCGACGAATCCGCTGACTCGGAGGCTAGCGAGGAGGACTACCTCGAGCGGTACCGTACGGTTCCTGTGTCCAGCCTCCCACCGTCCGCTGCCCCAGGCGGACCCCCGGGCAGCGCCGGCTCCTTGTCGGCGGCTGCCCTTTCTCCGTCCGCGGCCGCCCGCTTTGTGGCGGCAGCGGACGTCTCGACTGACAGCGCCTCAGTCGGCTGCCTCCGGGTATCGCGTCTAAGGGATTTTATTCCTCCTGCATGCTCCTGCTGCTTGGTGCTTGATTGCTTGGCCCTTCGGCTGCTTGTCCGAACGTCTGCGCGGCTTCGCGCTTGGGCTGGCGCTGCCGCGTCTGGGTGCCAGCAGTGCTGGTTCTTTTCGGGCTTGTGTTTTGTGTGTGTTTGTGCAGCTTCTCGCTGTGGACTGTGTGCCTGGAGGTTTAGCTTGATCCTGCTTTGTTTTGCTTGAGGCACTTTTTACCTTCTGCCAGTAAATCCTATACATCATTGGACCCGCGGGAGAAACGGAGATGACCCCTGGAGGAAGAAGCGCAGCTTCTGGAGATGGCTCGCCCTCACCAGCGTCTTGAACATGAAGCCATGATGCTGGACGAGCCCGAGCTTTGAGAGCTCTTCGTTGAGGGTAGAAACCTTCGCTCGGAGCTGACTAGCATGAAATCCATCCGGCGTGCCGATAGGCAGGCCGCCAAGTGTAATCCCGCCAGTGACGACCTCGAAGTGAAGAAGTTGAGTCTTGAGACGCGGCGCTTAAGGCTCTTCTTCAGCTGCGAGAGATCAGGGTGTTGATGCCAGGAGGGGATGTAAACTTTCGACTCGCGAGGTTGAATCTCTAGCTTCAGATCAGCCACCATGTACTTCTTCATAGCGGACGTAGCTGCAACGGCATCCTCGAGTGGACCGACAAGCACGACGTTGTCAGCATAGGCCAAGACTCGAACAGAGGGAAAAAGCTCTGCGATATGGAGGAGCAGGGGGTGGATACTGTGGCAGAAAAACACGCTGGAGGGGACATCGCCCTGACAGACGCCCGAGGTACACTGAACGGAGGCTGACTGACTTTTGTGAAAGAGTCGAAGGTCAGCAGAGTCTCCATAGTAGCTGGAGAGGTAGGAGGCGAACAAACGGAGATGCTCGCAAGAGGGCAAGCTTGCGCCTTCAGTGATGCTCCCATCAAAGTAGTCGCGACTCGCACGTCCCTCGATTGCATCGAAGAGAGCCTGGCGGTCGAGGGAGTTGAAGGCGTTCTTTGCATCCAAACTCACCAGCACTGTGGGGTTGGCAACATCCTCATCATCACCGCGAGCGTGAAGGGGCAGGAGCGCTGACGCGGTTTGCGAGAACTTCAGACAGCCGTTTGTAAATCCTATGTCAGGCCGTCTCGATCGAGCCCGAACTGAATCGCTCGAGGGTGAGACGAGAGGAAGTGCTGGTCAAGAAATGAGCGAATCCCTGCCAAAGCAAGCTTCGTCGCGAGTCGACGGTGTGCAGAACCGATGACAATTGGCCGGAGACCAGGTTTATCAGCTCCCTTGGAGAGGGGAATAAATCTGCCTCCTCGACGAATGGCTGACAGGGCAGGAATAAGAAGATCCGGCATCCGGCCAAGAAGGACCCCTTGGAGGATATGTTGGCAGTAGAGCTTCAAAGCTGCAGGATGACTAGAAAGGGGTGACAGGTGTTGCCGAATCCTCCACCCTTGGTCATCGGTCCCCGCAAAGGAGCTGTGTTGCTTGATCGCCTGGATCAGGCTAGTGGTGTCGAGGATGTCAGTCAAATCCACCTGCAGTACTGCAAGCGCTTGCTGGGTGAGATGATCCGCGGAAGCACTTCCAAAGGCAGGCGACGCACCATCAGGGAACTTCTCTTGTGCTTCAGCAAGAAGATCAGCGAAAGATTCAGCCCTGTAGATGCCGGAGCTCAGTAGTGTCCGTACCGCCCGATGAAGGTCACCCGCAGTGAACTGATGAATCGCCAACTGTCGTTGGCGCTCGCTCGCAGAGGTGAGGGACAGCGTAGGTCGCGGCGGAGGAGCAGGCTCAGACTCCTGAGACGATTGGCCGATGTTATTCCTCCTGCATGCTCCTGCTTGTTGCTTGATTGCTTGACCCTTAGGCTGCTTGTCTGCGCGGCTTCGCGCTTGGGCTGGCGATGCCGCGTCTGGGTGCCAGCAGTGCTGGTTCTTTTCGGGCTTGTGTTTTGTGTGTGTTTGTGCAGCTTCTCGCTGTGGACTGTGTGCCTGGAGGTTTAGCTTGTTCCTGCTTTGTTTTGCTTGAGGCACTTTTTCAGGTGACCTTCTGCCAGTAAATCCATTGTAGTGCTCACTGTGACGTCGGGTGCCAATCCGTAGGTATTCCTCCGGAGAGCTCGACACCACTGGGGTGCTTGCTACTGGTCCGAGCTCGCCTGCTTCCTCCCCGGCATCGGTCGGGTCACGCCGGTCCTTGGGCATGACATTGCCGCGGCGTCGCCGCCGTCACGGGCGGCTACCGCTGACTCGGCTACCGCTGACTCGGAGGCTAGCGCGGAGGACTACCTCGAGCGGTACCGTGTTCCTGGGCCTGTGTCCAGCCTCCCTCCGTCCGCTGCCCCAGGCGGACCCCCGGGCAACGCCGGCTCCTTGTCGGCGGCTGCCCTTTCTCCGTCCGCGGCCGGCAGCTTTGTGGCGGCAGCGGACGTCTCGACTGACAGTGGTCAGTCGGCTGCCTCCGGGTATCGCGTCTAAGGGATTTTATTCCTCCTGCATGCTCCTGCTGCTTGTTCGCGCTTGGGCTGGCGATGCCGCGTCTGGGTGCCAGCAGTGCTGGTTCTTTT